TTATCTGACTAACGCTGATTAGGAGCTCCTGTTAAGCAGTGGAATGAGTTATATTTTTACCTTTACCAGAGTATTTGTGATTTACTAAATATACTTTTTCCACAATACTTTACCCTACCCTAAAATGGAATAACTAGCTGATTTCTCTTTTGCTCATCCATATTTGGATAAAATACAGCACCTCTTTGCTATAAATTTTCAGGCCTTTTATCTGTTTCCTTCTTTTTTCCACATTTAGATCAATTCGCGAGTTGATGGCAGTCATTCATCAGCGAGAGAAAGTGGTCTACGAGCTGAACGTTAGCACACGTACCTTTTCTTTTTCGTGTTTATACAGCAGCCATAATTAGTTTATGCTAATTGGAGTAATCCAAACATGCTTTTTATAAAGCCCAAGTTACAGTTTCAACCTCGCTCGAGTCTTACTTGCCTCTCCCAATTCACATTTATATTGGGACTGGGTTTCAAAATCCCTTAGGGGTATCAATGGGGCCCATTGTATTTCAAAACATGCAGTCCCTTTGGATGTAGGGCTAGATGATTTCAAAAAGAATAGTAAGGCCTTCTTTTCACATAATTGTGGAAAAACTTAAACACTAAATCTTTCATGGCCTATATCTACCAAATGTAATCGCCTTGAAGGCAAGGTTAAATTAAATTCAGTGGCATTTAGAAACTTTCTAATCACTAACTTCTGAGGAACTTAACTATCAGGCATTTCACTACTTTAAGCAATCTAAGATGACCCTTTTTATTTAAAAAGATCTATACTGATAATTCAGAAGCCGAATTACTCTGGGCATAACAACCTGATCGTTTTATTAAATAAAATATTTTCTTTTTATATTTGGCTGAGTTTGAAGCATATTTATCAAGGCAAATGATCCTTAATCATTATTCTTGAATACACATTAAATTTATTTTATGCTTTCCTACAGTTTAAAGTTAATTTATTGCCATAATTAAAATAATTACATTATTCATTATCACTAAGGGGTTACAATATGATATCTTATAATTCTGGCTATTGAAAATCTTTATTCGTGGAAGATTGGTTACTTATACACTGGTTTATATAATGTTGATCTAGTTGGCTGCTTAGCGCGTTTTTACATCTTTCTTGTAAATAGACTCTTTTCAATAAACACGTAGCTATAATGATGATAAGTAGCTCCGAGGTTCGAACAAGTTATCCGATGCCTTAACCTCTCAAACTGTTCTATTTAGCAGCCGAATAAAATGTGCTTTCGATTTTTTTAAAACCAATTAAAATTGACATTCCATATGATGCATTTTTACATTTTCTAAAGGATCATTTTGTGGGTTTTTTCTTCAACATCTGCGTTATTAGTTGTGTAATAAGAGCTAAGCCACTCTAGGTTGCGTGACGCGATTTACCAAATGATAGTAGAGTTTTTCCTATAATCATGTGATTAAGTCCTGTGATGCCGTTCAAGTTTGCTTAACACTGTCTCCCAAAATCTCTTCTCATCCAGGATGGGCTGCAGTTTCTACTTTATCTAGATCTCATCAGCACTCTTAAAAGGATTCAAAACAGAGTCGAGTGCATCCTAGCGGCATAAGTCAGCAATTTGTTGCGTATTCTCTGGTATCGATATGTTGGTTTGACTTTATTTTCACAAATTAGTCATATTCTCATAAAGGCTTCATCCAAACTTAATTATCTGCAATTATTCCATCACTGGTCCGTTGACTGGGGATAGACTTTCACAAGAATTCTCTTCATACGTAACTAGAGTTTGGCTTACCGAAATATGGATTGAAAAATATGCTATTTTGTCGCCAGCTTGTGCTGGTGACCACTGTTTATTGTCTCCCTTCCAACTAGATCTGGTTAATTTTTCCAGAATTGACCAGTATTATGTCGTATTTTGCTAAAGATTTATGCATATTTTTCAGATGAGCATGGTTGAGATCTACAATGAGACTGTGGTCGATTTGCTAAGCAGCACAAATCAATTTGAGACAGTAGATGTCCGCAATTCCGGGCATGGCTTTTCTATTGTTGGCGCCAATTGGGTCGGGGTGAAGGAGGAGGACGATATCTGTTCAGTCATGGCGAGAGGGGAGAAGAACAGACACACTGCATCCACAAAAATGAATTCGTCAAGGCAAGTTATTGGACAAAAATAAGAGTGTAAGATGACTGACTTAATTATCCGACCCATTGTTTGCTAAGCCCTTCCTTCATATCTTCCTTCTGAATATAAATCTAACTTTATACTGCCACTCTAAATATAGAGACAATAAAGGTAATATGCTTACGCTCTGCCAAGACAGCCCAGCAACACTGAATACGCCTTGTAATTACTTGAAATATAATTCGTCTAAGAACAACGATGTTCTCATTACTTTTACTCCCATGCATGATATTTCATTCATTATTAATTAGTAATTTTTAACTCCCCTTTTTATGTTGCTTTAATGCTATCATTTAGTCGCTCTCGTAAGGAAGATCTTAGCAAGTAAGAAGAGTAACCAGCTTTTGATGAATCTCCTGAGATAAAATTGTTGGGAGACCTTCATTTCGTAGGAAAGTACATGAAGAAGAGATTCGAAGGTCGATCTTACCATAAGAGGACGGCTGATTCTAGTTGTAATGCAGCCGTTTAGCTTTAATGTGGCGTTCAGGTTGACGAAGTCTATTAGACCTCCTCTCTCGTTTCGAGTGAAAACGGGCTGAGCTTTCGTCCATCACATGACGGACACCGTCAAAGCTGGAACTCATTATTGTAAAAGTCTTACGTTAACATTGTGGTCATTCTATTTCCTTACTCATTCTTGCTTAGATTTTGTCCATCTTTTATCCCTATCAGTTCTCGATCACATTTGATAGTATCTGTCTCTTTGTTGGGCACCGATCGGGTTTCTGGTGCTCTTACTCGTGGCAATTTGACATTATGTGACCTCGCGGGCAGCGAGCGAATCGAGAAATCGGGGGCCACTTCGGGCGAGCGCCTCGCAGAGGCAACTAGTATCAACCTCTCGCTCACTTCTTTGGCTTCAGTGAGTTGATTTCGAGTCTATTAACTCAGTCGGCATGCCCCCATATAACGATATTATTATTACTTTTTAAAGATTTTTTTAACTCCTACTATTTTTCAAATCTGGTCCACATAGTAGGAAATGAAGGACTATAGTATGACTATTATGTCAACTTAAATTTATGGGATACCCTATGAATAGAATATTCATTTCATAAAGAAAACTTTTATCTCAACAACATAATCTTTTCAATCACAATGTCTGTTAGATAGTAGATATCAAGACTAAGATAGTGTGGCCTTCTGTTTGGTCGCAGTCTCCTTTATCTTTATAGTGTTGGTTCGACCTTGTTTTCGCAACTTAGTCGGAGCGTCAGGGAGCCCTTGTGGAACGTGCCTAGTCCGGTGTCCTTTGCCATAGTATTCGTGATTTCTCGCATTAGATAATGGGCTGGATACATTCCCAAACATTTCGCCTGCATCGTCATTCAGAGGCGCCATCGTAAGCACAGAGTTACAACTTATCAAAGCAGCAAGTGACTATAAAGCGACCAAACAGAATTCCATACCATTTTGGTCTTCATATCTACGGTCAAAATAATTGTTTGCCTGTCTGAAATCTGGCTGCCTATGAGCCTTCAATTTACATCCTCGATTAGGGTATATTCGAGGATTTAGAGCAGATGATACCTGGGAATCTTCCTCCCTAGGTTATCGTCCTTCTCATCCCCACCCATATCGTGTCTCATTCTTTGGGGCCCTGTTTCGTGCTTAAGTCATAAACACTGGCATAAAAATGCACCGCTTCCCTTTTTTTCACCTTGACTCGCGAAGAGCACACTCCTCTCGTCTTTCAAGTTGACACTCCAATCTAAGCCTAGGGTGTTAGGATGTTCATGTCTTAATCTTGGTCAAGCATGTCATTAGTCACCTCCCCTTTAGGCACAGACACGAAAAATACCCACAAGCACCCACGCGCACACATTTGTAACCTATATCTGGCCCACCTATACCTTTAGTCGTTAATTTCATGTCCTATGTCTCACAAGTAGACTCCCTAGGCAAATTCTTGGCAAATTCCAGGTTTGATTCTTCTCGCTGCATTCGCCTTTTCTTGACTTCCCTTTGTTCCTCATGGCCCGCTCCTTAGTGATATCTCTTACTCTTGTTGAACTGTTGTCTTGGGTCCAAACGTCTTCTTTTTATCTATTCGTTGAATCTCCAAGTCTGCTCAGGCAGTACACGAAATTATCACTAACTCTTCCCTCTTCTATTCTCCTGTTCATCAGGTTTCGTTGAAAGAGGATGTCCACAGCCTCTTTGATCTTCCTCTTCCTGGTGTTTTCCCCATATGAGGCCAGTCTTTCCGTTTCCTTCGAGTCAATTGTGTGGCCGCTAATGGCAATGTGTTCAGTTATCTTCGATCTTTCCGTATCCATTTTTCTGCATATTCACTGGTGTTCTTTGATCATTGTGCTAATTGTCCTTTCTGTCTTACCTATGTATTTTTGCTTACAGCAATTGCATTTTCTGCTGTTAACTCCGGGGCACTCCATTCTGTTTACCTCTTCATGTTGTGTGGGCAAGCTGGTGAAGAGGATTGTTCTTTTATTCAGGATTGTATGAATTTTCCATTTCCGTAGTATTGGTTGTAGCTTCCGAGCCAATTAGCAGGAGAGTAATCATATCCATCTTTTTTCCTATTTTCTTTTGCTTTCCTTTCATAATCTCCGTCCTTCCATTTATTCATCACATCCGTATGTTACGTTGTATTGCTTCTTCTGGATATCCGTTTTCAAGAAATAGCTGAGTTAGTTTCTCCACTTCCTCTTTCCAGAACTTAGAATCAGTGAGTCGTAGGCTTCTTATGATCATACTTCGGAGTTTTCCAATCTTCATTCCATAAGTATGGTTCGACTGGAAGTTAAGAGTCATTCCATCACGCGATTTCTTTCGGAATTGTCTTTTCCTTAGAGTTTTTTGGAGCGAATGAACTCCACACCCAGGAAGGGTAAGTATTCGTGCGACCAGATTGCGAAGTATTCATCCAAATATCGCATAATTGCTGTTGGTTGCTGCGTTGACATTTTGAAATTCTCCTCCATCCTGTCCATGAAGACAGTAGCCGATAGAGCTGATAGTGTGAGCCCATAAGTAGACCATATATTTGCTCATAGATGCGGCCTTTGAACGTAAAATGGGTCGTTTTTTGTTAGTTTGATTAATCGGGTTGGAGACTCTTTTAGAATTCGCTCCGTATCCAGGATTTCTTTTTCTTTTTAT